TTGTGCTGTGAAAGCCTGTGACATTGAACTGTCATGATAGTGAGTCTTGTCTCCTTGAAAAGAGCTGAGAAATTTCACAAATTGACTACATAATTCTGGATTGATCTGCCTTTCCATTTTAGAGTCATCTACTTCACATTCTCCTCCAGAAAGTGCACCAGCAGCCACTCTCTTGCTCTTGGTGAACCTGAAATCCTTTGGAAAACCCACTATCCTGTAACACTTGTTTGCAGTATGGCCTCTTTTCTTGCAGTGTTCACATGTGAGGTTTCTCTTGTCATCATATTTTCCTTTGTATGATGCTTGGCTGTTAGCATTCAAAGAAGCATGTTCAGGCATGAACTGAGTGTTTCCTTGGATTTCTCTCTGCTTTTCTTCATGAATAATCATTCCATAAGCAGTGGACACTGAGGGAAGAGGTCTCATTACCAGTATGTTACCTCTGATGGTATTATAGTCAGAATTAAGCCCCATTAAGAACTGAACTAACTTCTGATTCTGATCCTGTTTCATCATTTCTTGAATGGCACCACATGTGCACTTTGGCAGATTCAATATCAATGCTAACTCATCCCAGAGTTTCTTGAGCTTAGTATAATAACCAGCAACATCTAGATTACCTTGAGTAGTTGAACAGATATCCTTTTGAACCTGATACAGTCTAGCCCCATTAGATTGACCAAATCTCTCATCCAATTCAGTCCACATTTCAGCCACAGTGTTTGCATATAAAACACTGTCTCCAATCTCTTGGAGATAAGTATAAGGCCTGGATGATCTGAAGGATGCAGGTATAATGGATCGGAAGCATCAACTGAACTTGAATTTCCGTTTGCGTTTGAAGCCATGACGAAAGATCAGAAAAAAAAATGAAGAATTCTATAAAGGATCAATAGAGTTGAATGAAAACTGATGAAGAATCGATTGAATCGCTGAGATTGAATTGAAATTGATTGAGTCGCGATCAAAATTGCAGCTCTGATACCATGTTGATCTGAATCTGATCACGAAAAGAAGAAGATGAATGCAAGAAGCTAGAAGAAAGATGAAGACATTGATTATGGCTATGTGATTACAGCAGCAGTTCTGGGAAGAAGAACAGGGCCTATTTATACAGAGAAGAAGCTACGGGAAAGCAACAGAGAAAGAAAATAACAGACTGTAACAAAACTTCTAACTAACACAACTGACTAACAGATTATTAACTAACTGAGTAACAAAGTGTAACAAAATGAACAAGCTGTATCCAACAGAACCAAGTTCCCAAAATGAGGGAATTGGCTTTCTTGACTCTTGTATGCGGCTTGCTACATATAGGTTTTTAGCGAAATGTAAGAATACAAAAGAACTTCATGAGATAATATGGAAACAAAATGATAGAACTATAGTACACAGCTTTGAGCAACAACTTCTGTTTGCAAGATATTTATTTCACTAGACTTGAAACTTGAGACCAATAGACCATAATGAAGGACCCAAGATATAGATTTCGCGTTGGGTCTCTAAAGTTTCAGCTTTGGCTCTGGATCAAACATGTCTCTCTTTTGAGAGGGAGAGAGTAATATATTATTCTTGTTGTAATAGCGGCTGTTGTTATTTAATGTAGTGTTCTCTCTCTTTTATCTCAATTACATATTACATCGTTAAACTTGTTCTTCTGCAACAGATTTTGAGCCTCCTTCTAATCATAGCAGGAAGGCTCTCATTATAGCTGTTTCTGTGGCTACTCCATTATTACTCATTCTCATGGTTCTTGGTATTGCTTGGAGAAAAAGCTATTCAAAAAGAAAATTATCTAAGGAACAAGGTGGTGCCCACAAATGCCCTGCATCTCATTATTTTACTCAGATCATACTTGCAGCATACAAACTTGTGTCATGGGTTCTCTTTTAAATGGAAAGTGATTTCATGAAGTTGTTTCTGAACAGAACTAGCTGGGCTTGATCTGAAAACTGGCCGCTTCACTTTTAGACAAATTAAGGCTGCCACTGATAACTTTAGTGCTGCAAATAAACTTGGAGAAGGTGGTTTTGGAGCTGTTTACAAGGTGTGTGTGTGTGTGTGTGTGTAAAGAGTTCAGTTTGCCCTATGCTGTAAAAGTTTTTTATATAATTGATTTTTTTCTGTATGCCATGAAAATTACAGCCTAAATGATAACACAGCCTTTTTTTTTTTTTTGTATTTGTTGTTGTAATAAACAGGGAACACTACTAGATGGTACCATAGTTGCTGTTAAACAGCTTTCGTCCAAGTCAAAACAAGGAAACCGTGAGTTTGTTAATGAAATTGGAATCATCTCTGGTTTGCAACACCCAAATGTTGTGAGACTTTATGGATGCTGTGTAGAAGGACATCAGCTTCTACTTGTATATGAGTACGTGGAGAACAACAGCCTTGCCCGTGCTCTATTGGGTATGTCTCCTTTTGTTTATTCTCTTTGTCAATCACTTAATTGTTATGGAGTACACCGTAATTAATAGTTAAGAAGGTACAAACTTTTGGAACCCCCCTTTTTTGAGTAAATTCAATTCCAAAATTTCCTTTAGGTCCTGAAGCATCACGACTGGCAATAGACTGGCCAACCAGGCAAAGAATTTCTGTTGGCATAGCCAAAGGTTTAGCTTTCTTGCACGAGGAGTCAGCTCTAAAAATCGTCCACAGGGACATAAAGGCTGCTAATGTACTCATTGACAAAAACCTCAATCCAAAAATTGCAGACTTTGGTTTGGCCAGACTTGATGACGAGGGGAACACTCATATCAGCACCAGAGTTGCAGGAACAATGTGAGCTATTTATGTTCCTTTGGTTATTGATTCCCCCTTCTTCTTCTTCTTCATAACCTGATATTTTTCCCTGACAAGGGATTTTAATGTTCTCGATTTTTTGGCTTTGGGTATGATGGAATAAAGCAAAATGGCTCTTCAAACTGTTTGTGCTTCTTTTAATAGTGAGGTAGCAGTGGCCAAATTGCATGTAGGACTCAGACCTTACTTTTGTAGGACTCAACTGAGTTGTTGTTGCTGATATTATTATGGCATACCGAAATGGCCAAATTGCATGTAAACTTGTGTCTACATGAAAGTAATGTTGTTGTGGGTCTCTTATGCAGTGGATACATGGCCCCTGAATATGCATTATGGGGCTACTTAACCTACAAAGTTGACGTGTACAGCTTCGGTGTTCTGACGCTAGAATTAGTGTCTGGAATAAACAACATGAAGTTTCGTCCTGATGAGGACTACGTTTGCCTACTTGACTGGGTAAGAAATGAAAAATCTATAACCCGGTCCCTCAACTCATAGCAAGATTCAAGGCCACCTTTTTCCTCCACTAAAACAAAGTAAAAGAATTTAAACCAAGAAAACCTCCTTTGATCATACTACATAAAAGGACTTGTCTTGCAGGCCCTAGTTCAACAAAAGAAGGGGAATTTGCTGGAGCTGGTAGATCCCAATCTGGGATCAAGTTTTAACAGGGAGGAGGCACTGAGAATGATCAAAGTGGCACTGCTGTGCACCAGTCCGTCACCAGCGCTTCGACCAACCATGTCTGCAGTGGTGCGCATGCTTGAAGGGGACGCTGATGTCAGCGAGCTCAGCTCGGACGCAACTATGTATGGGGATGAGTACAATTTTCACGCACTTAGAGAAAAGTATTCTGGAATGCAATCTTCGTCGTCCGGTGAGAAAAAAACACTGTTTTGTTTTATTTTTTTAAATCATCCAATGCAAAACCTCATATTGCTGACTCACAATCTTTCTCTCTTCTGCATCACTTTCAACCACATACACATTTTTACCTTTGTATTATTTTACTGAGACTAATGTACTTTTTGTTATCTCTTCAGTGACCAATGGGTCGGTGAAGACAGAAAACACGAAGTCGGACAAACGGCTGAATGGGGAGGAAGAGGCGAAATTGCTGAGGTCGGGGGTGTCGGACAAGGGGGTGGAATTGCAATAGCCAACCCACTCCTATAATTTCTTCTCATAATGCTATTTGAACCAGAGAACTGGGTCATGAGTTAACCAGTCGGATCGGGTCAATCATTCAGTCAACGTATTGGTAACGATAAGTTAGTATTCTTTTTTTTTTTAGGACTCAGCGTCACTATTAAGTGTTATACTCTGTACCAAGTAACATTCCACACATACATTTAGTTGATTGAAAAACGAAAAGAATTAGAGGATCTGTTTGAATTCCATTTTACCAGAAAATTTGGGTTCTATTTTTCGGGAAGTATTTTTGGTCACATATATTTCGTAATATATAAGTTGTAGGAAAATGTTGTCTCATCAAGGGGAGAATGATTTCCGTTTACTTTCAAAAGAAAATTCTTACTCACTCCGCTTGCCGACATCCGCCACCCCTACGGCCCCACCTCCGTTACTCCCATGCCCACGTCTCCCAACTCTCCCTAACCCTTACCATTGCCACCCCTACTTCTTGCCCCCTTCTACCCTACTATCCCCATTCCACACCCACCTTGCTTGTTCACCTCGGACCCACCCCACCCCCTACCCCACTGTCTTCCGCCACTAGTCAATTCGCGTCATCAGCCATATCCCTTCTCTCTACCTCGCGGCCTGCACCAACACCCCCACAATATGCCACCAGCCTCATGATGCTAAAATAGTTGAAAATATCTTTAAAATATATTTTTAAATATCAAGTTTAAAATCTTAACCATTAAAAATGTTTTTTTTTTGAAAAAAACTAGACTCGAACCGTGCGTTGCACGATCTAATCAAAAGTTAAATAATTAGAGAAAGTATTGATGTAGGAATTTGATAGGATTAAATTAACATATGAATATAGAATGAAATATTTAAAATGCATTATATATATTAGAAATATATATGCGCTGCACATTATTGCTATGGCTCAGTGATTTGTTTTTCAAACGCATTTTTTCCGGTCAGCTAAGATGAGCGTGAATCCTCTTCCTTGTACAAAAAGTAGATGGTATGAGATTATGAGATATTGGTCGTAAAAAATACAATACATGCTCATCGTGAAAGACAATTTTCATGGAATCTCCACCTTTCGCCCACCTCGAAACATAGTAAACCCGAATAGCTCTTAACATGAGCATCCATGTTGTCCGACGGTTGTCCAGTTCCGCAATCAGAGTAAACATTGTCTTTGAACTCTTTTGAGAAATTTGAGCCATAAATACGAAATTTCAAATAGGGTTGTTTAATGAAGTGGCTTATCATAATGCTCAAAGAAATGTACTCCCTCCGTGCCCCATAGATCTTCCCATTAAGCCTTTTTATTTGTCCCACATAGATCTTCTCATTACCTTTTTTAACATTAAAATACCACAACTACCCCCACTTACTTTATTTATTACACCTTTTTCACCTTCTTTAATACATCCCACCAATTTTAATTAAGGGTATTTTGTAAACTTTCACCTTTTTTTAACTCTCCTTAAAAACCGCAAAAAGTCAAAACGAGAAGATCTTAGAAGGACGAAGGGTGTATATATAATACCTAGTGAATGAACTAATTACCTACACATTAAATGCTTGGATTGTGCAAATTTATTTATTTAATTGATTTGACCTAAAGCTTGGCACTTTCCTCCATAAAGTATCATTACTTTACTTTATAGAGCAACACACCATATAATGAAGCAAAGCACCACCGATTGGACAACTCATATAAAATTGATTTGACAACACTCAAAGAGAGCTAGAGAATAGCTGTCAAGGGAGGCCCAATCCGGCCCAGCGAAGATAGGCCCAAAACCGGCCCAAAGAAGGCTTGTGAAATAGGCGAGAATACTATTCACATATGCATCTTAGCATTGTATATAAGACGATAATTTTTTTCTTAACAAACAACGAAAAATATGGGAGAAATAATTTTCCTTGATAATTATTTTCTTATAGAAAATATTTTTCTACTAATCAAACATGCTTAGAGTTAAATATAGTGATTAAATATTACTTGATTTTTAACAATAATTTTTTAAATATATGGGGAATATATATTATTCATATTTATTTTTAGATAACATATAAATAATGCTCTTTACTTTTTATATTTAAACGAAACTTTATTTTCATAGGATCAAATTGGGATATTATGTTTTTATCTTAGAATTATCTTGGAAGTTTATAAATTAAGATTAATATTATGTATGGAGTAAATAGGAGACCAAAAATGGAAAACTAATTGTTAGGATATTAATATAATATTTTTAAATGATTGTAAGAGGAAAGATTTTAGAAAATTCGAGAAATCGGTGGAAACAATTACACGTAGGAAACATGAATATGACCTAACATAATACAAAAATACTAGGAGTACACCAAATATTGTACCCTCTCTATCTCCACCACACAAATGCAAAAGAAAAAAAAGAAATTAAAAATAAAAAAGAAATAAAAAATTAAGATCAATGGTGTACAAATGGTGTACTTTGAGGCATTCCTCATCCTACTATCGCCTAACAACACCGAATAAAGCTTGAGCATCATCATCTCAACTTCCTCGTCTTTTTAGATTTTTTTGACAAATGTTCCTCGTCTTCATAGTTCTTACACGACTTTTACGTGTCAAAAGGTTGGAGGAAACATGGACTTTACAATTGGGTATGGGTGCCCTTGCCTGATTCCACAAGACAACGCGTTTCTTGTCATTATCACAGTCAAAAGCCAGCATCTCCCCAGGTCTAAACGCTGACCAAAAAGAAAACTAAAAAAAAAAAAAAGAATCAATCAACCAAAATATACTCCGGAGTAGAGAGGGCATAGAAGACCAGACCAACCCCAAAAATCAACAGATTCGCAAAATGGAGAAGCTCTAGGGGGAATCGGGTGTTCATAATTTGGTGGGTTCTTGTTTCTTTTTGTTTGGCCGGCGATGGAGAATTTGGTAGCCACTGCAAGCAGCTCAATCCAAGCTCTGGGCAGAGGGTTTGATGTCACATCGGATATCAGGCTCTTGTACTGCAAGGGAGCGCCCGGGTCACGCCTGGTTCATCTGGATGAAGAACGCACCAAGAATCTTGACCTGGCTTCTGGCCTTTTCGTCCCTAATGTCTCTGTTGATATTCAGTGCAGGGGAGGATTTCGAGCCACTGAGGCCACTCCTGTCTTTACCTTCCATGAGGTCTCAAATTCTACCATTTTCTTGGGGTTTTATTCTTATTGCATTGTTATTGGAGATGAAGTTTTATCTTTTGAATTGGGTGTGAAATTTAGTCTTTTTTTTTTGTTTCCATCCATACCCAATTCTTGCCTTAGATTATTAGGCTTTTTCATGTTAAAGATCCATTTTTTAAGTGAAGGTACTGGTGGGATTGGAACTTCAAAAGAATGTTCTTAGCAGGAAGATAATCACTAAATTATTGTAAATGAAAAATGTTTCGTTTTGAAATGAAATGAACATGAAATTTGGGCAAGGATTCTCACCTTTACAGTGTGTTACATATAAAATCCATAAGTAAAATTTTGGACTTTGTTGTTCGTAATGGAATAATTATAGTGAATTGCATTACTCCTTTCTAGTTGGTAAATGGTAAGATATATCCTATTCCCTTGTTGTTGATTGTATTTAATGATTTGAGCATGCTAAAACAATTGGGACACCCCTATAAAATTACCTAAACTTATTGTTGGTTCTTGACATTTTACATAAAGGGAAGTGACAATAACTTTGGCATAAAACTCTGCTACTATTTTTTTTGCATGAATATTTAGTGTTTATTCATTTTCGACAAGTAGTTGGCACTTTAAGTCTCATGCCATCAACTCCAACATAGTTTTCTACTTGTCTTCCAATGCCCTATCTAATTCCTTTTATTATTGTGTAGTTTCTTGTGCTATTAGTGCTAGCTTTTGCGTTTCGACGGCGTTGAGATCAATCTAACATTGAAAGATTGAAGAGAGATAGATGAGTTTATAGGGTCTTGCCTTAGACTAGTTAATCGTTTTGATTCAATCCTTTGATGGGAGATTATTTTTTACAGTCTCATAGTCGGTACAAATGTATGCATGGTACTACTTTTTTTCTTAATTTCATGCATCCGGCTTTTCACTCCACGTTGCGTATATAATTTGCAGAATTCCTTTCTTAACTTCACAGGAATGTCTAAAAGAGTTCCTTTTTGTTTACACAATTTGCAGATGGCTAAATACTTCAATGACATGTCAAGTATACATGGACAGATTCCACTTGGACACTTTAATGCCATGTTTAATTTTACCGGTTCTTGGAGACTTGATGCTGCAGCTACAAAGTCTCTTGCAATGATTGGACATGTGATTCCACTCTTCACTGTAAAACTTGCAAAATCAAAGTCTTTAATTGTGCGCGATGAAATCAAACATGCTGTTCCATGTTCTTGGGACCCACCATCATTGGCAAGGTGATTGAGTACTTAAGATGCAACCGAATAAAATACTTTTTGACACCCAACTATCTCCCGTCTTTCTATGTTGCTAATGAAATTAGTCTATAGGGTCTGTTTGGAACCTGGAAAATACTAAGGAGAGAAAATTAGAAGAAAATAGTTTTGTGAGAAATACTAAATGATAGAATCATACTCTCTCAATTTAGTTTATATCTTTTTTCAAGTTTTATAAATATGTTTATCTTTATTTAAAAAAGACTAAGCTATTTGAATATTTTAAATTTCACATTTTACAAGCCAAACAATGGAAAAGATTTTTCTTTAGTATATTTAACATTTCACTAGCATTTCCCGGGATTCAAACATAGTGTAAGAGAACAGAGAAAATCATAACAAAGAAAATCTTTTCTTGCCCTCTTACATGAAATTCTTTTCCCAGTTTCATTGAAAACTATGGCACTCATATTGTCACCTCTGCAACAATTGGTGGAAGGGATGTGGTTTATATTAAACAACATCAGTCGTCTCCCTTGTCAGTGTCTGACATTGAAAATTATGTGAAGGATATAGGCGACCAGAGGTTCTCAGATTCAAAAGGCCTCCCAAGTTCCGGTCCATTGAAATACAAGGACAAGGTTAGGGTTCATTGGGTAAAGCTTTTTTTCCTATTGGTGTATGTTTTCTGTTTTTCAGAACCATTCTTTTAGTTTTCTTTAGTTTTGGTTTAAAAGCTCTAAATGACAAAACGCCATTGGTAAATAATAGTCATATAAAATTAAATTATTCATTTAACAAATGAGTAATTTTTATAAAATTTATACATGTTTCATAACGTAGCGTCATAATGAAAACAAGCTTTCAAGAACAATAGATTCATGTTTCCAATAATTTTCAAAGTTCCGTTTTTTATTACTGA